AAATATTCATCTTATATCACCTCCAGAAACGTTAATCTGGTTAATGAACTCAGTTCATACTTACTGTCACTCTGCTACAGATGTCAGCAGTGAGATTATTACTGGTTGGTATTACCAACAGTAATACCAACAGTATTTACTTTTACATGCATTTGATAGCATAAATGATATAACCTTACATGGTCCAGAGGACTAGTTATGCTAAGAATTAAAGTTTGGCATTTAATTTCTAGTCCACCTACATATATTGTGTGGAAATAAGACATATAATTGGGCTGGATCAATCGGCTGCCAAGATTGCCCTCCATTTGTCTTCAAGAGTGGAGATTAGAGGCATATAGAGGTTTCAGATAAATTTGAGTGGTAGTAAGCACTTGAAATAAAATAGCTTATTTTTTCAGAAAAATATTTTCATGGGATGAAGCACGATAGAAAAAAAATAGAGGGATAAAGGGGACTCCATCTCCTGCCATGATGCAAGTAACATCCAAACTACTTAAGTCACACAAGGATATGAACACTTGTTCACATTTATTTGTAGTTTTATTTTACACTTTGCTATTTCCGGCATTTCCCATAATTCTTAATATAATCTAATTGCACGTCCTAAAAATCTCAGATACACAGCATCTACAGAATGAAACTAGGGGAAGGAAGCAATTTCCACCTTTGCGTAGTCTACCCAAACCGACCTCTGGGTCTACACTGATTCTACAGTGTAAGACCAAGATAGACTGTGACTTTATACTACTGTGGTTTCAGCTAAGAACACAATCAAAAGGCCCAGCATGGGCAGTGTTTTCCTGTCCTTGGTGTTTATTAGCCAACGACCCAGAGGTCACATGGATCATATAGCTCACAAAGATTCTCAAGGTGGGGAGAACAGGGGAATGTGTATTTTCATTCCATGTCCACACACCCCACTGTAACTACAGGAGTTAAGAGCAGCTACCATTTTTGTCTGATCAGTCCTGCACTCAAAGACTGCCACAAGAGCTTTGTAGATATAATGGCCAGTTACATCAGGCAAGCTGTTTGGAGCTGAGGCTCTTCAGAGTGCAGAATGAAGGCACACAACCCTCCACAGGGGCATCTAAGGAGTCATAGGCCTTGCAGTCATACAGGCTGGAAGGTAACACAGAACAAGGGTAGCATGACTAGACAACTGAAGTGTGGCTTTTTGTTGCAAGCTTGAGGTGGAACATGTGTTCTATCTATTCAACACACACTGGCAGCCCCTGGAGGATAGAACAGATGTTAAATGTGCCCAGTATGCCTCAGGTTGTAACTACCTTTCCCTCACCTCCAGTGGGGAAGGTCAGCTTTTCAGTCACCTATCTACCTGTCAATGTCTGTCAAATATTCTGTAGTCAGATATTGCACAAGAGATTACTGCTTGAAGATGCTGCTGCTAAGTGCGTGAAACTCTGAAATCATTGCAAAACTTCCTTACGTGTGTGTGGTTTTGGAATCACTAATCCCCACTATCACCATACATCCATATGCACATGCACACACACACATTCCCAGCCCTTGGAAACCCTATCCTTTCAGCCACACTATAAATTCACCTGAAGAGAAACACTTCTATTTCAGATAAACATTTCTATTTCAGATATTTCAAACATACTGTGGAGCTAAGTCATAGGCAGTGGCTGGGCACTTACTGCAATGATACTAAACTTAACTTGGTGTAAATGAAATAAAACACTTCTAATGTTTTATTTCTAAAAGCAGATTTCAACACCTGTATTTCTTTTGATGTTACAACCATCCCAACTTTGCATTGTGTAGCTACAGTTTCCATGTAAAAAGTCTTTTAATAAAAATAATTTTGCTCTCTCCTGTGGTAATGAAGCAAGATGGGTTTGAACAGATCACTTACAACTCACCTTTACACAAAAGTACCAAATCAGTCCAGTGTCTGCAGGAGCTTTCAGAAATGCTATGTGTGTGTGCATGCACAGGCCTCCTCTTTCAACATTTTAAAGATGATAAAATATTTCACATCCCCAGAAACATACTTGCTACACCTATGAAAGAAACAATGGAGATCACTGGGCCACAGCATTATCACTTACATAAGAGCACTTTTAGAATGTAAAAGTCTAGGGGATTTTTTTTTCAATCAGACTTTAAAATGAAGTAGTGTCAGTTCTACACAAGGGTTAAAGCTTTTGTTGTTTTCTAACAGTCAAGATTCCATGCCTCGTTAAAACTTTGAATCCCACGCTCTGAGTGTACACTGCAGAGTACAGGAATACAGCTCCATGTTTCTCTAACCATCAAAAAAAGGAAACGACAATCAGCATATTAACAACTAGTTTTGAATAGGATATAAAAATTACCTACATTAGCTTCTCAAATTCACTGAAAGCAAGACAATAAAAAACTGAAGCACAGCAGAAGAAATTCATGTACCTATAGAGTTCAAAATGTAATTGTATAATATATAATTATCACAGATATGTACTTACAAAGAAAACACACTTCTAATGTTAAACCTTTATTCTAATAACTACAGAAGTACCTGTGGTGGTGTTTGCCTGAAATGTTTGACATTGCTCAGAATCCTGGTCATTTATTTTGACAATACTGATTCTCTTCTCTAGGAGAAAGTCAGAGACACAGATAACCATTCCAATAAGTAACCTTCCACATTTAATTATTTTTTCATATAGTAATATAATTCCTTTTACATTTTTGTAAAAACTGTGGAGCTTTATTTAAAAAAACCGAACAAGCTTGAAAGATAATAAATGCAGAATAAATGCTAAATAATCTGGTTTAGAAGTAGTTAATAGGCTTACTCTGGCTTGTGACTCTATACAAATGGGACTCAGCATGCACTGATGTGACTTGTCAGTCATCTGTAAACAAAATCTGCATCATGACTAAAAGTGTTTTGCAGTTGCAGTGACTCTCCCATCTTGTTCTGCATTACAATGAGTCTTCGTATTTTAATGATAAACCTCTGAGTTTTTTCCCCTTAAGATTCTAAAGCCAGATTCCAGTGTGTTTAAATCTCTTCAGTGCCTGTTGAGCTAACATATTCTAATACCACATCTATCATATGCAAAACACACACATCGGTTATCCAATGAGTAGGTTTACTAACATCAACTACTTCTCTCCTTAACATTTAACTACTGGAATAATCTTCATGTACATGAATAACCATGTATACGCATTCCAGTTGGAATTCCACCACACCAACTAAGAGTATGTGTCTCAGGGATGGGAGGAGGGGGAGTGTCCATGAGAGATACCTCCTGACAGATTGTGTTAGGGGAAAATGCAAATTTTTCTTAGACCTTACTTTAGAACTGAACCAAAAGATTACAAAAAAACCATCCAAAACCAAACAAAAACATTCTCAAGAAAAGTGGATAAACACTCATTCCTAACATAGACTGAACAGACTGCATTCATCGTATCTCCAGCAATCCTTCTATTGTTAATGCATCATTCAAAATGAAGAACAAAATAATCGCTTCAATGTTCTTTAAAGCTCCATTCATAAAGCACTGTATCTTGGTAAATTACAGGCAAAAAATAGACATACATATTTGAGATCAACTCCTTTTGAAACTGAAATGGCTTTATATATTTTTTACGTGAATCCAGATCAGAAGAAATTCTAAATCGAGCTGGAGGTAACCGTTAAGATGGAGAGACCAATAAGCAATTCTTACCAGACTGTACAGGCAATTATATGAACAGTGGAATCAGGAATGTCACCTTTAAGCTTCCAATTCATATGCTCTTTAAAGGAAAGTAATCTTGTTATTTTCCTCACCCATTCCTGTACACCAAGAAACTTTACCCCTCTTAGAAAATATCCTATAAAAGACAGACAATAGTATGCAACGACTGAAAGCACTTTGCAAGAACACTGACAGAGTAAGCTTGAGAATAATAAATGGGCAAGAGAGAAAAACAGAAACAAGTAATTTTGGAAAAAAAAAAATTAGAGTAATTTCTGCTGGTTTAGATCTCTTACATGACCTTAAGGCACTTAACATTTATTAATAAAGCACTGCAATTACCTCCTGTAATTCCATACTCATGCCCTGCACTGATTTACACATATGGAAATTCTGAAAGAGATCAGCTCTGGTAAAGGTTTGAAGTCTTAAAAAAGTCTTTCCAATTCTCACTCGTGTCTTTCACTCTGCCTCTGAGTAAGCTAGCCAGGCAGCTGGCTACTCTGAAAGAAAAAAATCAAACAAATTACTTGAATCAATCAGAAACTGATTGGCTGTTTTTTTGTGGTGCTTCTGCTGCTGTTATAGTGTTGGGGTTTTTTTTAAAGAAGAATGAAAGCACACACCTATTGCTTTCCTATGGGCTGTAATACTGAATAAAACTAGGTTTAGTCTAAAAATAAATTATGTCATAGTAGCCAAAAAATACAATACATGCTTTCCTAATGTTATTTCTTTGTGATTACATAGGTTCCCTGAGACAATTTCAGTAGAGGAGATACTAGGAAAGCAAGTGACTTTTTTTTTTTTTTTGACATTCTTTAATAAGGCAGCAACAGGAATAAGAAGGGAAGCAACCAAATCTCCACAAAACATCAGTAGCTGGCAAGTAATGGACCGCCTTATTTACAATGTAACTTCCAATTATTTATAATGTGGTCATTTAGAATGTACCATAATCAATAACTTTACAAAATTATTCTATCCAAATGCACCTACCTCATGCTTATTGGTTTTGCCTTGCAATTAATTTAACCCCAAATCTGGAGTCAGAGCCTTTTACTAGCTGTGATAAAACAGTACCTTTTAAGGGGAAAAACAAACCACCAAAAAACCAAAAAACAACTAAAAAAAACCCGCCTTAGGTTTATTTTTCACATTTACATATACAGAAGATTTTGCATTAAAAAACTTGAAAAACAAGACCATCTGTACATATAGTACAGCAATTACAGTCTCCATGAATAAAATCTTCAAGTTTATTTGAAAATTATTTTATTAAATAAAGCAGCATTAAAATCCAACAAATGGGGATGAGGATGAAGAGGAAAATAATGACCACACAACATTTGTATTCTGCCCTTCCCACATATCTTTCATGCTAGTTGTACCTTTGTTCTCGGTGTAACCTGAAAAACCTCCAAATTCTGAGTTTCTTTCACTTGTCTGAAATAACTCCAGTAGGGCCTGCACTGGGGAGCTGCAAGAGCTTCTCCTCTGTTCAGGAACAGATAGTCCATCTGTATACTTTACACATAACTCTAGATTTTGTCTCTGCGTTTCTCTTTTATTTCTTCCCAAGTAAAGCTTCACTTTTCTGTGCAGCTTTCCAGATGGTGAACTGGATGCAGTGCTGGCAGCCAATTCATTAAGTTCTTTGTTTATAGCAGTACCAGATACCTCAGCCTCCAGAACTACATTGTGCTGAATCTGTTGATGATTATCACATAAATCACGATGTTTCTTGACAAACGTAGGATTGGCATCTGTTTTTTTCAAACACTTTGCTGGTAGAACTACTGCGTTATTTAATTTTCGTTTTGGCTGCAACAGGTGTTTGTCCTTTTCACTAAATTCTGTAACTTGAGTATGAGAATATAAAGTACACATGCTTTCTTGAAAGCACTGTGAATTCTTTTTATTTACTTCTTGTTCCAGTATTTCTTTACTGAGTGGCTCATAAGCTCGAGGCAAGGTCTCCGTATATGCTTTGTCATCTTTCTGAGGGGGTGGTTGTATGAAATATGATGATACAACAGTCTGTCTTAAGTTTGCAGCACAGGAGCAATCAGTTTTAGTATTTTCATCATTATTTCTGAACTTAATTTGCAGTTCGGAAGGTTGTGCCAGGTGACAATGAAGAATTGAACAAACACATCCAGAAAGAGGGGCAGGTATTGGCACAGAATTTGGTTGTACTTCTGCAGGCTGGCGATCCTGTTTGAGTGCCCTCATTGCCGTATCCTTCCACGAGTAGCTTTTCAAGGAAATGCGTTGCTTTTTCAGTCGTTCTTTCAGCTCATCTGGTCTAGTTATCTTTCCAATAATAGGAGAAAAATAGCCTGTACTACATTTCGTCCTACAATGAAATTGTTTAGAGTTATTACTGCACACCTGGAAAAAACATGGGAAACAACTCCATAGGCAACTGATTACAGAAAAGCAACCAAACTCACAAAGCAATTTTTGGTTTTACTTTTAGAAGACAGATATATTTAGGGTAACAACACACTATTTCTATAGGAACAGAGTGTCTTATTTGATTTTTCTTATTGATTTCTGCAGCTCATAAAATTGCTTTAAAAATACATGAAGTAAGTAGCCTAGTATTTCAGTAAATCTCAATTTACAGTGGTATCAAGAAAAGAAGATATTAATGAATATAATGTATTCTCTATAAATACAAATATTCTATGATATATACACACAAAGTTAGCATAATTATACGTTATTTCCTTGGTACTGCATTTCAAACCTAACCACTCTGAGTATTTTTAAAGCATAAAAGGAATAAAGGCTTGCCTTCATTAGGCTATTAGCTGTTGACTCTATTTGCACTTCATTTGATTTCACTAAAAATATCTTTATTTCTTCAATTTTTTTTTTTTTTTAAAATCAAGAAAGTTATTCCTAATTTCCCAACTCATTTGCAAAATAACAGAGCAATCTTGAACTGAGTTACAGTTACTTGGAACTAAGACACTGCTGCCTACGGTCCAAGACATGAAAGAAGTCTCTTTCACCCATCTAAGCTTTTGAGCTACAAAGAGGAAAGTAAAATCTGCTTTATTTGTCCAGCACAGGCAGGACAGATGCTAAGAGACTTAGAGTATAGACAGCAAGATCTAGATTAACTAGGAAAAGTTTTCCACTGGAAAGAAGAGGAGACTGAATGAGGAGGGTATCATTTGCTGTTCTTAGGCTACTAAGAACAACAAAGTTTTAGAGCAAGATGTCCAGATATTGCTGTCCTTCTGTCAGTAATGTTTTAGTACAGCAGATCTTGCTTTTCTGAAGCTGAAGGATAGGTAAGACAACTTCTGGCAAACCCTTTCAGTCTAATTTTCTTAGGATATCACCTGCGCTTTTTTTTTTTTTTTTAAATTTTCCTCTGATTTCTGCTTTACAGAACTGATTTGCCAGGTACAACTGCATTGCAAATTTCAGTGATTTCTTATGAATTTATTCTGTACCAGATCCAGATTTCAGAAGTAAGTATCTTTAATGTTCAATGTCTTAACACAGAGTCTTTAGAGTTTAGAACATGTAACCTACCTTTTTATTTTCTCATCATCTTTGTATTCGACAAACTCATAAACAAACTTTGAGATTATATCATCAACAACTTGATACTGTGTGCTTTGTGCAAAATTTCGGTGCTGTTCACTTTCAAGATGCTGGAATTAAAGGAAAAACATGAAACAAATCTACTGCTACAGTTAGGAATATGCAAGTCAGCAGTATGATATGGAGCAGTAAGTAAATATCATTTATTTATTACCAGCGTGTCTGAGACGTGAACTACTACTGCCTTCAGTTACCATATATAGAAGCAGCTATCAAGACTTTAAACCTACATGGGGTAAAAAAAAAGAAATACCCACTTGCTGCTTTTTAGTAGATATAGTCAGATAATCTCCTAAGAGAAAAAAATACATTAAATTGTAGAAACCACTGTTGATACTACACTTGAGAGATGACACTATCAAAGCATATACTTGACATTTTACTTACTATTTGCAGATCTTCGTATTTCTTCCCACAACATTCACAATATCCTCTCCTTTTTTTGTCCTTCTGAGGGAGCTGAACAGGAGTTCCACAGTCCTTGTCACTATTTATTTTGGTTCTGTTAACAGAAAAGTTTATTAATACAAGTCTTAAATATGGAGCCGAGCTCTATACTTGCTTTTCACCCCATTTTTGTTCTTAATCACTTAAAAAGAAAAAAAGAAAAAAAAAAATTATTTCTGCTCGAACTATTTAAATTGTTAGTCAAAGCTTAGGAGAAAAAAAATAAAGAACTAGTGAATTGAATAAAAAAAAGAAATTACTGCAAAAACAACTGGCAGACCCAGTGGAACTGTTATGTAAGCATAAAACATCCACGTTAGTACAGATATCCTATTGACTCAGAATAAACAATGCAAAATTGCTGAACAAAGAAAAAAAATCACTTGACAAATCACAGGACATGCTGAAGCCTCTGTGCTTAGCTGATAAAAGGAGGGCTGATAAAATAAAAACTAGGGGGGGAAAAAGTCTTCTAACATCTCACCCACTGTCAGTACTTTTGATGCCAAGAAAACACGCAGCAAAATCACTTGATCTAACAAATGACCTCTCATTCTTTGGCAAAAGTAAAGAACAGTCACATCTGTTGGTTATGCATAGGTTTTGAATATGCTGACCAAATACCATTTTGTCCTGTTTTTCTAGGTATAGGCTAAGTGGAAATAGGAGGAAATGAAGCTCAAGTTCTTCCTGGAGATTAAAACACAAGGAGGTTTCAATAGCTGCTCCATGACCTTCAGAGTCCTCATCTGGGGAGAACTACTGTTTGCTTCAATTCACCAATAAACCACCTAAGGATGATGTGCTAGTGGTAAAGCAAAACTATCAATCTCTACTTCCATTTTACTTTAGAGGAATACTGCCATCACCCTGTCTAGCCATAAATGATTCTGACAGACTTTACCAAGTACCTGCGTAGATGTAAACTCAGGTCTCTACATCAAAACACCTGTCCTGAAAAACCTCTCACTTAAAAAGCACAGTGATGTATTGCTCAGCATAATAAGGGTGCACTGCTTTCAACAATCATTTTCCGTCAAGTCTATACTGGTAACACCTGCTCCAGCATTTCCTGGGTTCCATAGCACAGGCTACACCTAACTGTGTAGTTGTTAATATTAACACTAGCCTTTTCACCTTCCCTCTTTAGCACTGTAAAAATCACAGACAGCCAGTAAAGCACGATATAAGCAACTGAATTTATCATCTGAAAATTGAATAATGGCTGCAGGTCTTGACAAATACAGAAGCAAATGGGACTGACAGATTTGCTTCAACAACCTTTTTCTCCCAGACAGAACAAGTGAGCACTCTCCTTTTTCTCTCCTGAAACTGACATTCCTCACATTTACCTGCTGAGTATGAAATAATCTCCCACCTAAATCTCTTTGGCATGTGCCAACCCAGAAGATTAAGTAGGAATATTCACTGAAACATAACTCCTGAATTTTTTAATATATATTCCTAAATATATCATATTCCATATAAATGCAAAGAATATTGCCCTTTTTTTAATGCTTTAAAAAGAATGGGCCTTTCTAACCTCCTCTGAAGAGAAACCATCAGAAATTGCCTCACTATTGCAAGAGTTACTGCTGTATTATAGTTGCTCTGCTTTTTCATATTGCTATATTTATTGCAATTAAAAGAAACAAAATTCAGCATGGCAATACCACGTGAAAACCTGCAGCACTATAATAATGGTGAAGACTGGAAATGCTATTTTATAAAGAAAAATATCATACCTAAGTAAGCCTTAGACCCCAAGGACAGAAAAGCAGTGCAAGTTACTAGATACAGAAAGTTCCACATATAGCAAAGCTACCTTTCACCTAAATATCTCCAGTCTCTCATGTAAGTCAATTTTAGAAACCAACGAAAGAACCATTACTACTCCAGATATATAGGTATAAGAAACTAAAAGCAAATTTGATTCACCAAAACCCAGATAATTAAGACTCCTAAGTAGTTTCAAATCATAAAATTGATTTATCAAAAGTTCTAACTGCATCTGGAGAGCTCTAACTGAGCTTGAATGCCAAAATCTATCATAAACGCTGTAAGACCGACTTCTCTGAAGAGTCGAGGCAGTATTTGCAGGGTCCAACTTGTACAAATGAAGACTTCAGAAACAATGATTTTGTACTATGTTTGAATATCACAGTTTTAAAAATTTTTAACTGTCTACTTTGGTATTACGTTGACAAATATCAAAAGAAGTCTTAAGAAATCCACTTCCTGTAAAATACTTACTGGATGGCATCCAAGATGAGGACAAAGAAGAAACCAGTGGCAGAAAGGAAAAAAATATCTTATGCTGACCCACAGTGATAGGAGAAGGCCGCATTTTTGGATGTATGCATCTGTATGCCCAAAAAAAGGACTAAAGACAGGATAAAGAGGGTACAGAAAGATAGACAGACACCAACAGTTACAGTGCAGCAAATACATCAGCCGAGACATGGCTATTAGTACTAAATATTGCACAAAATTAGAAGAACAGTAATTTTAGAAAACAATTACGTTATAATTATTTTAGAGAACCACCCTCTCCACTATCCACACCTCATCAACAAGTTTTCAACAAACCTTTGCTTAGACTGCGTTTGCTTTTGACCAGAAGGATGCTTCTTATCCACCTCAAATGGACTATATGGTTTTGGAACACAGTAGTTCAGAACTGGAAAAATGGGTAACTGCAGATAAAACGGCCGGTAGAGGCTGCATTCAACAAAACAAGTGCATTAAAACCCTCAGAAATGGAAAAAGGAGTTTATAGCACCAAATTACAATCAGCTCAAAATCACGGTAAAGCGTCTCTCTTTTACATGTATCAAACACAGAATGCCAGGCAGATAAACATCGTAGAATAAGTCATTCCTTCCTTCCTAAAAACATGATACTTTCTCAAAATAAATTTGCCTGGAGTTTCCATAGCTGTATTGCACATTCCCTGGGGTACGGCTTTCATGCCTATTTATCATTGAGAGTTGGGTAACCAAGACTAAGCAATTTGGACAATGGTGTATCTGTGTTCCTGAGAAGTAGCTATAGCAGTTCCTAACATCAAATGCTTTCTTTTTTTTTTTTTGAAAATTTTAATCAATTCACCATTCAAAATATAAAACCAGACCTTTTCATTTTCCGGAAAGGTATTTTTCCTGTACACCACTGTACTTGAGAGATAACAACTAGCGACCATACCAGCATTCTGAATATCCTAAAAATGTTTACAATAATATGTGCCAAAAGTTCATATACTGAATGATTTAACTGAAATGCTGATGCCAGAGTTCAGTCTGATTTTTTCTTCTATATTACTATTATAACCTAGCCAGTCAGAAAAAGAGCAAATCTGGAAAACATTATAGGGACAGCTAAGCATCTTGTGAACAGTTACTAACATTGCATAAGCATTTAAACATTAAAAAACATTGTTTACATTACGTAACATTTTAAAGTGTTTCCAGTGTTTAGTTCAAAAGTCAAATGCATACATATTTATAAACACTTTTCTTCTATGTGTGTCCAATTCTCTCCTCTACCCTCATGTCTCTCATACCTGTTAGAATAACTCACAGCGCAAGACTAGGTTTAGATCTCTTCTTAATTCAGGAAAGTGTCAAAGAAATGACGTCAAAGAATTTGGAGCTTATAAACATCATGGTAATTTAGTTAAGAATCTAAATTTAGTTAATTTAGTTAAGAATTTAGTAGAATTTAGTTAAGAATCTAAAGGTGCAAAATATGCTGTCCAGACCGCATTTTTTGTAATTCATTGTTCTCTCAACTTCTAGCAAACTGGCATTTCCTTACAGAACCAGGTCTCACCGATTCCAGGAAAATTTTAAAGGCTGAAAGTATCAGGTTTCATGCTACTGTGTACTGAAATCAGATTAATAGGCAGAGGTGCTAGGGTTTTTTTTTTTTGCTTTAAAAAGAAATGACTGAACAGGAAATTAAGCCTAATTTCAGGGGATGATTTTAATTAACGACTTCACTTTCCTTACATCTGAACAGTCTCTGCAGGAAATGAATGTTATTGAGTTGGGACTACAGGACTGGAATTTAGCATGCAAAGTTTTACTGGCTTTTTGGGCTACAGGATTTGGATCTAAGAAAAGATGCCAAGGTTCAAAGCTTCCAAGTTTCCTTTTCATTCATAAGGCCCTTGGCAGAAAGTAACCTTAAGAAAACACTCTCATGATCTGGTGCTACACCTTAACTTTCCCCTACATTACTTACTGCAAATATTCCCTCCTATACTACTACTTGCTTAATCTCATTCAGTGGCTCAACACGGACACCCACCCAGAGCATGCAAAGACAAAAAGTTTATATCTTATTCTAAGAGGACAGCATGCCTGGCATCTAAAGTTGTGAAGCAATTCAAATCTGAAGGCTCAAGTTATCTGAATTACTCAAGTTCGAGAACTGCATCACTTAATGCATGAAGAGAACACTTACCAACTTCTATCTTCCACCTTCACAAATGGATTTTTCAGTCTACCTGCTCAAAGTGGGAAAAAAGAAAATTGAGAGAAATACTTTTCTTCATTCAGCAAGTTACTCCAGTAGATGAATGAACAAGCAGATATTATTTTAGAACTCAGTACGTACACGTTTTGACAAACTCTTGATTTCCATTAAGTTTTTCTATATGCTTTTCTTGGACATACAAACTAGAATACAGCAGCACGCTTGACCAGATTAAGAACTGTAGCCCATTTTTAAGCATACAGCAAATAAGCAAAATAGAAACCTCTACAGATATTAAAATATTAAAATACTTACTTCTTGATTTTTGAGTAGTAACTTGTTTTCCCTATAGGAAAAAAAGAGAAAAGGTACAAATTCCTCATTAATATTATTCTGCATTTTACTTAAAGATTTAGTTGTAGCTAATTTTAAGTTATGAGGCTCTCCCTGTGCTAATCATGACTTCATATACAGTCACGTGTATGATTTGCAGGAAACTAAAGTTCATTACTACTTCAGAAATACGGTGATGTGTTTCCCAAAGAAATATTTCTACACCACAAAACAGTTCTCCCTGAGATGTTTCAATTTATTTTTCCTAAAACCAAATCCAAACAGAAAACCCAAAATAACCTGCCATGGTTTAAAGTTGATTCTTAAATACAGAAAAAATTCACAACAGTTTGTAAATGCTAATTAACTACAAACTAAAATTCCAGATAGCAAAATTCTCCAATTAAAGCAATTCTTCTTGTTTGAATGGATTTACACAGGTTGTTTGGGTTTTTCTTGGCAATGAAGATTAAAATTAGAAGGAGCATTTGTTCTCAGAAAAAGAGTAAAGTACCAGCTGTTGGCTGTTAACTGATTCTGGTAAAGGTACAAACACCTATTTTACACTACTTGCAAAAAGCTCCACCCTGCTATCCAAGAACACCAGGACACTAATGATTTAGCAGAGGATTTAATGTAGCCGCAAAAAGTAGCTGCTATTGCATTTCAAAACCACGTAACATACCCTGATGGTCTATTTATGTTACCATTTCATTTACTTATCACAGACCCCTGCCTGGACTACATAACTGTACAACTTCACGTCTTTAAATTATAGGGATACTGCAGACAGAGCACACAAGCAGCCAAAACAGTTCCCATGTCTCACTGTATCATACACTAAAACCATGAGAAATTGAGATTTTTCACATGCCAACTGCACATTATCAGCAGAATAGCTCTAAGATGCTTTATGCAAGTTCTTTACAAGACTAGGAAGGAAAGATGCAGGTTTGAACAACTGACTGGAAAGATTCCTTAGAGGCAGCTTTCTTCAGGTAATGGGATTCTTCAAAATGGCCCATCAAAAGGAAGGTTTCCAATCACTGTGTCATAGGAAAAATTACACAAGGCAATTTAATCATGATTTAGGTCATTTGAGGCAGTTCACTACTTCTGATTCCAAGATAATCCTTTGCAAGAGCAAAGGTCCATACATGATTTAATCAATGTTGCTATGGAATTCAGTTTTGAATAATGCTGAAATGTATAGCTAATACTTTCTGGTTTTCAAATATGTTTTTTTATTCAATTCATGGAACGTACCAGTCTGAAAAACTGAACATGAGCAAGACTTTACTGAAATAGAATCTGCAAGCTTCACAGTAGGTAGTATTTAGGACAGCTGTGTTTCCTCATTGAAACAAATGGCATTTTCACAAATTAAAAGGAGTCACTTACCATATCTTTTAGAGAACTGCCTGTTCTTTTGATTAGGTAGAGCTCCTTTTTCTTTTGTTCAATGTAATTCTTAACATCTAGCAAAAAGACATAATTATACTCAGCTGAGTTTATTTTTGTGTATTTGAAGTAATTTATCATTTTTAGTATTTTGAATTCAACACAAGAATAATTAAATGAATGTTACAAGTTCACATTAGGCTTCATGAAACAAAAATATTTACCATCAATATGAAGTATCTTCACTCCCCAGCTCAAAGCATTGGACAGCATACTACCAGAAGGGATTAAGTCCTGCAAACAATAAATTATATTAATAATTTAAAGCAATATATAGTAGATAATGTGAAATAATTACAAATATACTAAATCATGTAATATGAAAGCTGGGATCTAAGTGCCAATGCTTTGCTTCTTGCCAAAAGGCTACTGGTCTGCTCATACGACTTTTTCATCTCCATGTCATAGCCCTTCACCATCAAAAGATTACATTTAACCTTTTACGAAGCCAAAATTTTTTTCTATTGTTGTATTTTACAGCAAGATTTGAAGACAGTGAATTTATATATTTACTTTAACTTCATGAGCACCTCTCAAATGCTAGCTGTATCAGTAATCCCAATATATTACAGTATTGGTGGTAAGACTCCACAGACTTCCAGTTCTTCAGGAAGTACCCAGAAAGCATGACCTGACAGTTTTACTTAAGACAACCACTTGACTTCTGCCTGAGAGTTCCATGAGGGACTTCTGAGACCAAGACCACTCTTACTACTGGTTGTTTTCTACAACAGCAAATCCAAAGCTTCTCGAGCATGAATTCATTGATTACTTGGCTTACCTGCTCTTTGATTGCTTTTTCAACTAAGGATTTTCCTCTGCTCATACGTACCTATATTAAAACAGCAACACATTTTTGTAAGTTAGAACTCATATAAAAAAAAAAAAAAAAAAAAGGCAAAAAGGTAAGATAATTTACATTGTGGCTAACAAGTAAGTATTTTAGCTATGATAATCTCCTTTTATTCACTGTACTGCTATTTTTCATTAATTCACATCTTGCCCACAAAGTTACAGCTGACAGTCTCAGGGAAGGATGTGTGTGTGAACTAGTAAGTACTTGTTTTCAGCCAAAGCAAGTCACTACATGGCTGGAGCAACACTGGTGCTAGTACATAGATGGTGGGAATAAGCAGCCAGTGGTACACACCAAATGATGAGGTTTCATCAGCTGGACTCGTGCCAAATTAAGCTAACAGTCATGAATAAAATCATAGCCTACATCTTATCCCATCTTTTCTATCACCACTGCATCTCCTTTTGTACTGTATGCCATTTATTCATAATAAGGATGCCTTTATCCAGGTTATTTGCAAAATGAAGCCATCTCACCTAGGCAATGCAAAGACCAACTCACAGACTGTTTCTAAATAAGTACCATGTATATATAGCACAGGTAATTGTTTCCAACTGTATTTTTGAAAGGACACAAGACTTGCCCATATAAGAAACTTCATGTAAACCTGAACAAATTCAGATACTAATTATTGCAATTAACATGATCCTCTAAGAAAGAGCTCAGAAAAACTTAATATTCGTAACATCTGATTTTAATTACTTCCTTGAACTACTATCAAAGAGTGCTTCTGTAGATATCTGCATTAACATAACATCAGCCAAATTTTAATAGGCTGTGTTGCTAAAGAGACAGGAACCACTGGAAACTTTGCTTAGTTAGTTAGTTAGTCAAGTTTAACAAGCTCGCCTGAACTAGTCTGAAAGTATGTTTACCCTGTTAAGAAACAAACAAATCAACCCAAACAAACAAAACATCAAACAACCTTATTCACCCATGGAACTGTGTTCATCTTTAAAAAAACAAAACAGACAAAAAATTATAAGCGCATATCCCATGGGTTGTACCTGATTTGCAGTAATAATACTAAGAAACTTACTGTATCTACTATCTTAAATGAACTTCCGTCATGCCGATCTTTTCGGTTGCTAGGATGAGGTGAACTATTTCCTCCATTACCTGCAGATTCTGGGCTAGGAACAGGAGAAATCTGACCAAGAGTTGGTGCAAATTTTGCCTCCTTTTTATTAGACACCAGATAGCTGATATCTTTACTAAGAAAACTCTCCACTCTCTAAATATAAAAATAGAAAGCAAATAATTATTTCAGGACAGTAAATCAGTAACTCAATTTTAGATTGCACACTTTAAAGTGACAAAACGTCTACAATAATTAAAAAAACACTGAATGACAAATTACAATTTGGCTATACTGGCATCTTATTAGTCACAAATTTCAATTCCAATTTCTTACTTTTTTAAGCATCTATCAAAAGATCTTTGCTTTGACTATTATCATTCTTTTAACTATCTAGCTGAATGCTTTATAAATAGAAGTCAAGCACTGCATTGAGAAATAACAGAATTCAAGAAACCACAGTTTATATAATTTTATGTAATAATGACATAGAATTGTTCAGCTAAACTTGAAAGCATGTGTATGCTAATGTAATTTACAGTTTGCACAAGCCATAAATGTACCAAGTTTAGAACCAGCAGAAGAATTAAAATTTCAGGACAGTTACCATGTTTCACACAGTATTCATAGGATCATAGAACAGTCTGGGTTTGACCTTAAGATCATCTAGTTCCAACCCCCCTGTAATGGGCAGGGACACCTTCCACTACACCAGGTTGCTCAAACCCCATCCAACCTGGCCTTGAACACTGGCAGAGATTTGTAACACTTCTCAAAAATGTAGAAGACTTAAGTAGATTCATAATATTTTCATGCTCAGTAAGACAAAACATGATTATCCTATGCTTATTCTCTTCTATTTTGCTCATTCATTACCAACTGTTGTGTGATGATCAGCTCTATTTGCCTTGTTATTTTTTGCCAGTTTACGTTGCTTAAAAATATTTTCCTCTTCTCCACTAATCAGTATGGAAAGCACAAACTGCACAGACAGCAAGTTTGAAACTCTGCCTTGCAATTCTGCTCTATGTACCTTTAACAGAAATGGGACATAACGAGCATGGAACTTTTGAGTGCGCTCCCCGCAAGTAACAACGAAACACGTAGTTGATCTTGAAGGTGCTGGACACCTCAGATTTAGGCATATACTCCTCAGAATAAAACAGAAAAACTTCCTTTTCGGTCTTTGATTTGCAACCTTACCTTTCACACATGAATTCCTAAAACTCCGTTTTAAACAGAAAGACGAAAGGTAGCATGCACTCAATGGTAAATGTAAAGAGACACATTGAACTAGAAACCATGTCATTGTTACTAGTTACTTCTACTAGAATTTCAAAGCATCTTGGATTTACAAGCATCAATTTCATAGAACTGCTCAGCCCTCCTTTGAGGTCATTTAAGCATTGCAAAAGCAGTGTTCAGAATAGCTAGCAATTTAAGCAGATCCCTTTTGCTTCTGTGGTTAAAGGGTGTTTAATATTTTAACTCCCAAGACTCCTTTACACTACTTCAAAATATTTAAAGTGGACTAAGCAACTGCATTGCTGATGTGTTACTATGATATCCTGTACTTGCCTTTATCAAAGCATTTCTTCTATATGCAAGAGAGTTAAGGAAAGAAAAAATATTAAGATGCTTATAGAATCTATTATTTAAATAAGAGTATTTAAAATATCCATTAACATACTCAGACAGAAAGTATACTAAAGTTATTGACTTTAAGTAACCATATGCAAAACAACTCCTCTAATCTTTCCCATTCAGATGAACAATTTTAGTTGTAAATGTGTCAATACAGTCAGAAGCAGCAAGGGGGGTAGAATAGTCTCCAACAATGAAACTTATTAAATTTGGACCAAATTTTAAGCAAACAAATAATCAACTGAAAAACCTTTACAATAAACTTTTATTGCTAAACAAAAACAAAAAAAACCCCAAAAAATAACACCCCCCCCCAAAAAAATAAAACAAAAAAACAACCAACACAAAATACTTTGTTGATATGCTAATTGTTTATATTACACATTAAGACAAACATCCTGTCACGAAATACAAACAACAAAAATGCAGATACAAAAAACCTGGAAAAAGCATTCTACATGTGCAGTTTTTCTTCTAGTTTCATACAGAGCTCATTAACTTACCCCTCCTAGCTCTTTGAGGTCCTTTCCTATTTTTTCAGAGATCACATTTGATGGAATATCAAGGTAAAACACTTTCCCAGTGAGTGGCTTATACTTAAGTTTCTCTGGCTTCCCTGTATCTTTTTTCACATTCTTCAGAGAAGATCTTATCTTTTCACTTTTTGCTTGCATTCCATCTGCTGCAAAAAGAAAAGGGAATTTAAACAGGACTGTGTTTTGTGAACTGTGTTTATTTATTTATCCCCCACCCACCCAAAAGGGAAAATTCTAAACTTTGGAAAAGGGTAAAACAAGCTTCCGCGCAATACAGAGCTTTTAAAAAATAGCTGTATGTTGAACATGTCAAAACCAAGACATTAATAGTAATAATACCACATACAGCCTTAAAAGTTTAAAAGTTTTCTCTTAAAATTCTATCCTAAAATGGACTTTTTACTTCAGTTGCTATACAATGACATAAATTTTCTCACCGAGTTTGGACAGTATTTGCTATTTCTGTACCACTGTACATGCACTACTTGCAGTCACCGAGAGTCACAAGAACACCATTTCAGAACAGACTGTCCCTCATTCATCCGAAACAAAAAGGATTCCTATAGATTCATTAAACCAAAATCAGTCAAAAGTAACTGAAACAAGAAAAAGCCTGCTATTTATCTGAATTTTTAGCACCCACCTGAGATACAAGAAAACTAACCTTAAAGTTCAAAACCATTCTAGTTATCACCACTTTTTCTGCCCCAGTGAATTTTGCTCTAAAACTAAGAAACCGCATACAGCAATTAAACTGTGCTGATAAACAACAACTTTCCTAATGCTCAGCAGAGAGCTGTCTATGCAGGCCTGTTAGACTAGACATTTTAAAAAGCAAGTAATCAGTCTGGGTGAGAAACAAACCTTATTTCTTGAGAGAAATCTTGGAGTGTGGTATTGTTCTACAAGAACATCAGCTCAATACTGAGTAGCAATCAAAAGTGTGTGTGGGGGGAAAAATAATAGAAATTTCTAAGAAAGAGAAAATAAACCAGGCAATTTTATTATGCCACTTCATAAATGCAGGGCTCAGCCACATCTTAAATACAGCCTGCAAAAGAGTAACAAGGATGATCAAAGGCATAAAGAATGACCTTGCGGATTAAGACTTTCTCAGTCTTAATCTGTTCTTAGTGAGTAAATGATTTAGGGGGAAAAGAATATAGATATAGAAAAATCAAGAAGAACACAGACAGAATGACTAAATCTATTCCAGAAGAAGAGCTATGGGGCACCAAGCAAAACTAGGAGTCACAAATAAAATGAAATACAGGAACTGATTCTCTGTGCAACAGGGCAATCCTGTGCACCCTGCTACCAAACAATGCTGTTGATGTTATGATGCAATTTCAAGGAGAGACTGCACAAGTATAAGCAAGAAGAGTGTTCTGCAGGGTCCTAAATGCACAGAAGTGACACAGAACTCATGAAGTCCCTGTAGCTAAACACAGCTGGAAACTAAAATAACATTATTAGGTGAAAATAATTATACCTGCTCTGTTCTTACATACTTCCACAGGAATCCAATTACAATGACAAATACAGAATCATCCAAGACTTGCACATTCTCAGTTTTACACTGTCTCCCTCACTGATTGACAACCTGCTTCTCTTCTGAACTGGGAAAAGAGAGAGGGCTGCTATAGGAAGTGAGCAGGCCCCTTCTGGAGACAAGCGCCAACATGCAAAACAGTTCCTCTGTTATATATCATCTCCCTTCCTGAAATGGTCTTAGATGGGAGAGGGAGCAGAACTACCATTCATGCTGCAGGATTCTGTAAGTAACTTAAGAACGCAGTTAAGTGAAGCAGGAACAGCAGTCTTTGTAGAATCTAGGAGACCAAAAGACTTAGAGAAATAGGAAAATGGGGAGGCTTAGGATAGCATAACCAATTCCAAATGTGAACAGAAAAGATGGATGATAAGCAGGTGCGCAAATGAAAGTCCACAGATGACCAGGGATTAAATATGATGTTATACCCAGCACACAAATGTGGTCGCTGAGGCAGCTCAAACATTAACACACTAAATGCTAAAATTAATGTTGGAAAATACACATTATACTTCTCATGTATAATTCAAAGTTTGAAGTAAGTATGCAGTACCGCATTAACAGTAAAGTGTCTCTCTTGTAAAGCAAATTAATTTTAATGCCATGGGCCTAGCGTGTCTTCCATGCATGCTCCTGATCTCAGCAAAGACCTGCCCAGGTGGAGCAGTTTGCACGGCTGTGGCCTAGCGAGTTTCAAAGAAGCGAAACAGAGCAATTGGCCTAGCTACCTTTCCAGATCCACACTTAGTGTGCAATTCCTTAAAGCGTGCAAAGGTTATTTCAGCTGTACACCACCAACAAAGCCCGCCCGAAGCATGCTTGCCTGCTAGCCTGGTAGAGGCAAGAGGCCCAAGCGCAGCACCAGGCTCACTGCAGGGTATCACACTCAGGAAGGCGGCACCAGCACCAGGCCTGGCTCAAAGCGACCCCGCTGCCTGTGGAAAAGGCCCGAACCCCGCCACCCCCACCACGCTGGGCC